AATGTGGCCATCTTCAAGTTAATGATTTCCAGTATTGTCCAGTACAGCCCCCTCTGCAAACTGATTATTGTTTCCAATCCAGTGGATATCTTAACTTATGTGGCCTGGAAATTGACTGCATTTCCCAAAAATCGTGTTATTGGAAGCGGCTGTAATCTGGATACTGCTCGTTTTCGTTTCTTGATTGGACGAAAGCTTGGTATCCACTCTGAAAGCTGCCACGGATGGATCCTCGGAGAGCACGGAGACTCAAGTGTTCCTGTGTGGAGTGGAGTCAACATAGCTGGTATCCCCTTCAAGGATCTCAACTCTGATATAGGAACTGATAAAGATCCTGAGCAATGGAAAAACGTCCACAAAGAAGTGATTGCTAGTGCCTATGAGATTATTAAAATGAAAGGTTATACTTCTTGGGCTATTGGCCTATCTGTAGCTGATTTAACAGAAAGTATTTTGAAGAATCTTAGGAGAACACATCCAGTTTCCACCATAATTAAGGGCCTCTATGGAATAGATGAAGAAGTGTTCCTCAGTATTCCTTGTATCCTGGGAGAGAATGGTATTACCAACCTTATAAAGATAAAGCTGACTCCTGAAGAGGAGGCGCATCTGAAGAAGAGTGCAAAAACACTTTGGGAAATTCAGAAGGAGCTTAAGCTCTAAAGTTGTCTAAAACTACCATTCTGGCTGGGCGCTGTGGCTCACGCCTGTAATCCCAGCTCTTAGGGAGGCAGGGGCGGAAGGATAGTTTGAGCCCAGGAGTTCAAGACCTGCCTGGGCAAGACAGCAAGACCCCGTTCTCCATAAAAAGGAAAAAAATCAAAAAGACAAAAAAAAAAAAAAAAAAAAAAAGAAAAAAACAAAAGTACCATTCCTATATTGTTGAGGAGATCACGGATGCAGGATATTTTTTTCAAAAATTTGAAAAAAACTTGAATTCTTGAAAGATGGAAACAGGAAAGTGGGTAGAGTGACTTTCCTATTTATTTAGTCCTCCAGCTCTTTGATTCAGCATCCAGGTGCTGGATGATACTTATTTACAATTCCTAAAGAAAGTGTGTTTGGTACCTCTGATGTAGCAGCACTTGGCTTGTTATATATATATAAGTAGTTGGCATTTGGTTCCCAAAAGTAGGATGTAGGTATTTGTGTTTTAGAAATTCTGCTTCTTTTCATTAGATGTTTGTTAGTTATTTCATTCTTGCTGGCTTATACCTATGTTCATTTATATGCTGTAAAAAAAAAAGTAGTACCCTCCTCTACAATGTAAAAAGTATGTACATTCAAAAAAAAATGTGCATTAATATATACAGTCTTTTGTTTTGCCTCCCTCGATAGTAAGTTCTATTTGTTGAATGACTAATACAGCAAGGCATGTCATTTGCTTCATGAGAAAACAGATCACAGACCGAAAGGCTTAAAGCAGATAGACATTAAAATGGATATCGGCCATACCTTCCCAGCGTAATGGTGAATGATGAAGCCTTGGTTCCAGCTGTTGAAGTGCTCATGACTCCCAATCTGCATCTGAAGTTTCTGGAGCAGCGTCTGATCTGCCCCCTCACCCACCGCATGCATCGTGGCGCACACGTCATCCAGGATGCTCATGATGCCAGGAGGGTTCTAATGAGACCAAGAAGGCAAGGCCCTAGTCACTGACCTCTCCAAAACAGACAAGTCCTTTTTTAGGCAAAGGAACACCTCCCCTGACTTAAGATACCATCTTGAAAGTCAGTCTTCCCCTTCAGGCAAGAATGTAATTAATAGTCCCAAATGGGGAGTCACCACTTAGATCTAAAGAGGGAGGAAACTCTATTTTCCAAAAAACTGTTTAACTCCCTGAAGTCTTATCCAAGAGTCATGCACAGATCAGTATCTGCTCACTCATATTCATGCCAAATTCACTTTCAGAATCCAAAAGTAAAATAAAAACATTTTCTTTTGACCGAATCTCTTTCTTAATGTTCTTTTTTGGCCTGTTACCCATGTAGTTATCATTTATATAATTATTTAGTGTACACATTCTATAATGCATTTCTTTTTTCACATAGCACTAATTTTATTTATTTTTTTACTGACACAGAGTCTTGCTCTGTCACCCAGACTGGAGTGCAGTGGCATGATCTTGGCTCACTGCAACCTCTGCCTCCTAGGTACAAGTGATTCTCCTGCCTCAGCCTCCTGAGTAGCTGGAACTACAGGCATGTGCCACCACCCCCAGCAAATTTTTTCATATTTTTATTAGAGATGGGTTTTCACCATGTTAGCCAGGATGGTCTCGATCTCCTGACGTGATCTGCCCGCCTTGGCCTCCCAAAGTGCTACGTTTACAGGCTTGAGCCACTGCGCCCAGCTATTTTATAAGCATTCCTCATGTTTTACATATTCTTCATACTTACTATTTTAATGGCTGTATTTCTCGGTTCTGATACACTATAGATTGTTTAATAACTAAGTTGTCTATGGATATTTTTACTGTTTTCAGTTTTATAAAAAGTCCTACAGAAATATCTGTTATATATCACTTTTATTTTATTTTGATTTTTTTTTTTTTTTTGAGACACGGTCTTGTCTTGCTTTGTCACCCAGGCTGGAGTGCAGTGGTGCAATCTCAGCTCACCACAGCCTCAACCTCCCAGTCTCATGCAATCCTCCCACCTTAGCCTCAATAATAGCTGGGACCACAGGTGCACACCACCATGCCTGGCTAATTTTTGTATTTAGCTAATACAATTTTCATATTAGCTAAAGCTTGTGTTTAGAAACAGGGTCTCACCATGTTGCTTGGGCTAGTCTTCAACTCCTGTGCTCAACCTGCCTCAGCATCCCAAAGTACTGGGATTATAGGTATGGGCCACCACACCTGGCCTGAAACAGTCATTAGGGCTAAAGTCCTAGAAGTTGGACTAGAACACAGGGCCAGTGTTATGGCTCTTCACATGCTATGTTATCATGTGACAGTTGTCTACTCTTAGAATTCAGTAACAACTTCCATTTGTAAATTGACATTTTACTTAAATCCACATGTTCATATTTACTACCAGAATAAAGCCCTACTGTTCTCTTTTCACACATACAGAAAAGTAGTACAATTGCTCAAATTCTCTGCAAATCAGTGTTGTCACTTTGCCTGTTGTAAAACAATGAAACAGAGAACAGAAAGTCAATGTAAACCTGTCAGCAGTGACAAGACATACGAAACCAACACTTACCACTTTGTTCTCTATGAGGTCACACACAATTTTGTTATTAAAGTACTCAATGGGTGTCCATCTTATTCCCTCTTGAACATATTCTTCCTGTAAGACAGAAACCAGGAACTCACATTATTACCCAAATAGCAAGAGCCCTACACGGAGAGACCCTGAATGGACAAAAATTCCCATGAAAGAGAAAAACTTGAAAGTCCTCCAACAAAGAGTAGGAACTTGAATTTCTTATTTTCTAAGAGGTAATAGGAAGGAACATTTTATTACTTGGTAATTTTTACATTTAGTTTGAACTGTATGAAATTGTTACCAAACAATTGTTTTTGACAATTTAGTAGTACCAAACTGATAAATCATAAAACTCTTAAAAAATTTAACATAGGACAGGAGTACAGATTAGCATCAAGGTACTTAACGGGAAGGTTCTTCAGTCTATTAGTTCCTCATTTAACTTGAACACTGCAACACTGTCCTGGTTTTTTCCTCCTCCCTCACTGGTCTCACTTTGTCGGCTTCCTGTGCCAGCTCTTTCTTCTTTCCAGACCTTTATATGTGGTGGAATCTCAGGGTTCAATCTTCCAGCCTTCTCATTTTCTCAGCCCTCCTTCTCTAGGTGGTTTCAATCAGTCCCATAGCTTTAAATACCACCTACAGGATAATGACTCCTGAATTTATTTCTCTAGTCTAGACCTCACCACAGGGTTCCAGGCTTAAATCCATCCTATAGATTGGGATCTTCACTTGGAAGTATAATAGGCCTCTAAAACCTAACCTGTTCAGAGGAACTCTGATTCCACATTTCCCATGGCCTCCAAACAACCCCTTGATTAATCTCATTCTCCAGTAAACAGTGTCACCATCAGCCCTGTTATCCAGGATATAAAGCTGAGAATTGCCCATGATTGCTTCCTCTTTCTTGGTTATTGCTAATTATTTTGAGCAAGTCCCATTGGCTCACTCTCCAGATACTCCCTCTCACCACCTGCACTGCTACCATGGCTGTCTAAGTCTCTACCAAGTCTAGCACAGTCTCCTACAATAGCCCCCTCACTGGTTTTTAAGCTTCCGTTTTAGTTTGCTTTCCCCTGCCTCACCCTACTCTGTAAGTCTATAACAGCCCGAGACCTTTCCAAAAACACAAATGACAAATCAGATCCTGTCACTCCTCATTCAGAATTCTTCCGTGGATCCTCATTCCACTTACTATAACGCCCAAAGTCTCAGCCATGCCCTGCAAAGTCCCCGTAAGATCTAGCCCCTACCTCCCCATCCCATCACATTCGCTATTGCACTCTTACTCGGCTGTTTTGCTCTAGCTACTTAGTCTAAGGGTTGAGGGAGGCTAGAGGTTCATGTGAAACCCATAGGGAGACTACCAAGTCGGTTAGGAGGCTACTGCAGTAGGCTGGGCTGGATGTGGTAAGGACTTAGGCAGCAATGGTAGGATGGGTTTCATGCGAACCTCTAGCCTTCCCCAACCCCTAGAGTAGCTAGAGCAAAACAGCCATAGGCAGGTTCCTGGGCCTGGTATTTCCCCTGGTATGGTATTTTCTAAGCAGAGGCATGAACACTTCCGTAACTAAATGATCCCAAAACAGCCTTTGATGTGTGCAGTGGCTTGAATAGTATCCCCAAAATTTCATGCCCACCTGGAACCTCAGAATGCGAGGTTTGGAAATAAGGACTTTATAAAGGTAATCCACTAAGGATCTCACAATAAGTCATCCTGGGTTTAGAGTGAACTTGAAATCCAAAGAATAGTGTTTTTCTTTTTCTTTCTTTACAGTTCACTCTCCATAGAGACTGTCAAAAACTGTCAATGCTAACTATATTTCAAGTCGTCATGGCGGGGTATTGCAAAAAGTTTTCACTTAGCAATAATCATGACTCCGATAAACCTCACTGGCCACAATATTGCCACTGTGCAAAGCTAAAATGGTGCCTTCATAAAAGAAAAGAGATGGAGATTTGAATATAGACACAGAGGGACACTGAAAAAGGCTATGTGAAGACACAGGCAGAGACTAGAGTCAAACCGCCATAAGCCAAGAAATACCAGGGGCCACCAGGAACTAGAAGAGGAAGGATTCTCCCCTCCATCCTGGCAAGGAGTGTGGCCAGATTTCAGCTCTGGGCGCCAGAACTGGTAGGGAAGAAAGTGCTACTGTTTAAAGTCACTCAATTTGTGGTGCTTTGTTATGGTGGCCCCAGGAATCCTAAACAATATGATATCAGCAAACAACGGACACCGCTCTGAACGATTTATTTATTATTATTATTATTATTATTATTTTTTTGAGACTAAGTCTCGCTCTATTGCCCCAGCTGGAGTGCAGTGGTGTGATCTCAGCTCACTGCAACCTCTGCCTCCTGCATTCAAGTGATTCTCCTGCCTCAGCCTCCCAAGTAGCTGGGACTATAGGCACACACCACCATGCCTGGCTAATTTTTGCATTTTTAGTAGAGACGGGGTTTTATCATGTTGGCCAGGCTGGTCTTGAACTCCTGACCTCAAGTGATCCACCCGCCTCGGCCTCCCAAAGTGCTGGGATTACAGGTGTGAGCCATCGCGCCCAGCTATTACTTATTTTTGAGACAGTCTTTCTCTGTTGCCTAGGATGGAGTGCAGTGGTGTGATGATGTAGCCTCCATCTCCTGGGCTCAAGCAATCCTTTCACCTCAGCCTCCAGAGAAGCTGGGACTACAGGCTTTTGCCACCACGCCCAGCTAATTATTTTATTTTTTGTATGGATGGGGTCTCACTTTGTCACACAGGCCGATCTCAAACTCCTGGGCTCAAGCAATTCTCCTGACTCGGCCACTCAAAGTGCTAGGATTATAGGCATGAGCCACAGCACCTAGCTTGCATCAAACTTTAGAAGAAACTATAGCAACGCATGTTACCTCCGATAAATATTGAAATACCAGTTTTGTTAAAAATGCATGTATTATTAGGGAAGACTGAGAATGGAGTAAATCTGAGAAAACCAAGTCTTTTTTTTTTTTTTTTTTTTTTAAGACGGGGTTTCACCATGTTGGTCAGGCTGGTCTTGAATTCCTGACCTCAGGTGATCTGCCCGCCTTGGCCTCCAAAGTGCTTGGATTACAGGCGTGAGCCACTGCACCCGGCCGAAAGCCAAGTCTTTTATTTGGAACATAATATATGCCACAGTCAGTGAGGGCTGGAACTAGGCTCCCATTTCCCACGTGCTCAATGAATCACTAAAGTAAAAGCAGTCAATCTTACGTCCAACATCATAGCATCATTTGCTTAAAGAAGGCAAATGCTGCAGATGGTATTTATATTTCACAGATTAAAATGCCACAACGGCTTATGGTTTTTCTACCTGACTTTGTTAGGTGCATTTCCTAATATAAGACTGGAACCCAAATCTGTTATCAAAAGACAGAAATCTATACCCTCTTAAACAAAATAAATTATAAATAGAACAGGATGAAGGAAGAGGGACTGCTTACCTGTTCCGCTTTTAATGTCAGTTCAATAAAAATCTGCTGCAGTTTTTCATTAACAAAGTTGATACAAAACTGTTCAAAGCCATTTTTCTGGAAAAAAAAAAGTTATTCACATGTAACTGTTCCATAAAATCATTTAAAAGTCATTTCTTGAGTGATTTATTGAAATTTCTTGATACAAAAGGCTTTAATAGAAATGTTGGAAGCATCAATAGAATGAAGTTTATATTTAGGAGAAATTAATTTGGTAAAGGTACATGAAAAACTCAGAAAAGCAAAAACGAACCTGAGTGGTTTTTTGTTTGTTTGTTTTTGCATTGCCTAGAATTATTTCTTGCAGGTGAGATGAAATATGTCACCCTCCTCAACCCGCAGTTATTCAAACTGGCCTTACCTGGAATATTTCAAAGCCATAGATGTCCAGGACGCCAATGTTGTACTCTTCATGGTCCTTCTCCATGGCTTTGTTGATGGACTAGAGAAAGTAAACAGCATGGCAGTGAATTCCTTTCCATGTACACTAAAAATGGGCATGTGCTGGGGAAAAGGAAGCTGGGCTACACAGCAAACACTACTGCCTGCAGGACGCAGAGGACAACGTGAAGGCAGGACACTTGCTGCATTCACAAAGTCTCAGTGCAAAGTCGAGTACTTTGAAAAAACACCAGGATTCAGAAAAGCAGGTACAGTAGAAACAAAAAATGTTTGCTTAATCATGATAACCACTAATTTCTGGCCAACTCAGCTTTTTCAGGAAGTCTTAAGACTTAGAAGAAAATGTCATCTTGGATGGTCAAAGTAAAACCTATTTCACATGAAGAACCCACATGGAAGGCTTTGTAATTGCCATTTCCATTGTCTTCCATTCACCGGTCATTTAGTGATGACCCAACACAATATGCCAGGGATGCTAAAAACGACCATCCTTGTTCCCAGGAGCTTATAGAGAGCTATCTATGGATAGTAACAATAGTCATTAATTTTGAATTGATAATAAAAGCAGCTTACATCTACTGAATATTCACTTTTGCCAGGGTTTGCTAAGCGCTCTCAATGTATGGTTTCACTGAATTCTCATTTCAATTCTCATAATGGCAGTGATACCATTATTTTCCCCATTTTCCTGATGGACACACCAAGACTTGCTTAACATTGTTCTAGTAAGAAGCAGGGTCTGGGAATAAATTTTAGCAGTGTCATGCCTAAATCTGTGTTCTTTTTCTCCTGTCACTTTTCTTTTTTTTTTTTTTTTTTAATCACTGTGAGAAGAGGCCAACCAATTCATGAGAACAGACTTAATGATTGCACGGGAGGTAAAGGATAGAGCGGGTTGGTGGCTGATGCAGGAGGGGAGGAATGTAAGAGAAAAATTCTTTGAGGTGTTGAATACCTGGATGGATTCTGAAGTATCAGAGGTTTTTCCAGGCAAACAAAATGAAATATCTCTTTCGTGAGAGAATAAGTAATCATATATAATACATAGTCAGTGTCCAGTATATGCCACCTCAAATTAGGATCACTTACATAAGCATTCAACTACTTTTACTATTTACAAAAAAAATTGACAGATGACAGGAAGGAAGGAGGGTAGGAAGCCCAGCGCTGGAAGGTGCTCTGAACAAACAGACAAGAGATACGGATTCTAGTCCCAGGCTGCACAGCCCTCCTACTGATTGGCCTTGGGCAAAGCCACCATTACTCAGGCCTGAAATTCCCTTCCAGTAAAATGAGGTGTCTGGACAACCTAACTGCATGACTTCTGTTTAGTATGACCCTGACCTTCCCAAGCAATTTAATCCTTCAAAAAGCCACTAGAAGTACCCAGAATAGCTCTCCTACCCTGTCACGCCTAACCCTACTCTAACCACACTAACCGTACTTTAAGCCACATAGATGTTAGTGCGTAAAATACAGATTCTTTGGACCAAACAGCCCCACTGTCGTCCCTCGACTAGGGTCCTTCTAGCTTGAATATATAAATGTCAAAGGAGCAAAATAGCTAGGAATGTAGCTTACATCTATCACACAGTAACAGCGTGACCTTGGGAAAATTCCTTAATCAATCTATGCCTCCCTTAATTTATCTGTAAAGCAAAGATAATACTAACTCACAGGGTTGTTGCAAGAATTAAGTGAGGGTTTTTTCCCTTTAAAATACTTAGAACAGTGTCTGGGCACTTATACAACTAGCTATATAACTGCCTGCTATCATTACTCTGCCGTTTAGAGGGTATAGTGATTAACACAGATTGTTACCGGCAGCTCTGCACTGCTGACAGACGAATTTTCAGAATATATATGTGATACACATATATAAATATATATGCATATGTAAGTGTGTACGTATATATATACACACACATATGTAATTATGCCATAACCAAAAATATCTAACAGTTTCAAAATACATGCCGAAAGTTTTTTATATTCTTCCCTTCAAAAGATGGAGCCTCACTGCCTTCCCCTTAACTGTGGACTTTGCTTAGTGACTTGCTTCTAACAAACAGAATGTGACACAGTGACTACACCTGAGTCCAAGATTAGGATATAAAAAACTGGCTTCTTGCTCATTCCCTCTTTCAGATCACTCACGCCAGGGAAAACCAACCATCATGTTATGAGGACATTCAAGGGGAGGTCCATGCAGCAAGGGACTGAGACCTCCTGCCAACAGCCACATGGGCAATCCATCTTTCAGCCAGACTTCAGATGACCACAGTTCCAATCAGCATCTTGACTGCAGCCTCATCTTTGAGTCAGAACCACCAAGTTCAGTCAATCCCAAAGATCTGACCCTCAGAATTTGAGAAAACAAGTGCGTATGGTTTACAGCCACTAGGTTTTGCGTTGATTTCTAACACGGCAATATGTTAAAAACGCATTCCTAAATCTTCAGGCCCAAAAGTTAAGAAAGGCCCATGAACGTGGGTCTCCTCTTTCTCTGGTCTCTAATCCTAGCTTTACTAAATATTTTGTCAGGAAGAAACTTGTTGCCACATTAGATTTAACTAAGGTGTCTTGGTGGGCAGTTCTAAAAGGAAGAACAGGATTCAGTGATCGCAGAGTGAGAAGATAGAAAGTAAAGTAAGGTAATGGGTGAAAGAAAGGAGCCAGAGCAGGAACACAAACCCTTAGTCATTTTACTCTTTTTGTTGTTGTTGTTGGAGACAGTATCTCACCCTGTCCCCCAGGCTGGAGTGCAGTGGCACAATCTTGGCTCACTGCAGCCTTGACCTCCCAGGCTCAAGTGATCCTCCTACCTCAGCCTCCTGAGTACTTGTACCACAGGCATACACCACCACACTGGAATAATTTGTATTTGTGTGTGTGTGTTTTGTAAGACGGGCTCTCACCATGTTGCCAAGGCTGTTAAACTCCCGGGCTGCAGAGATCGTCCCACCTTAGCTCTCAAAGTACTGGGATTACAGGAATGCGCCACCACTCTCGCCCGGCCTACT